GAGCAGCAATTACTCATAGCTACACTTAACACAGCAGACGTGAAAACAGGGACCTGGGGCCTTGTAAAAGCCAGGCAAGGGGCACAGGGCATCAGAAATGCAGGGCAGGTTCTGACACAGCACTGCTGGCACACACCATCCCATGGGGCCCTTCTGTTCCAGCAGTGGGCATGGACACAGATCTGCTAATGCACCTCAGTCCTGGCTGCTCCATTCCAGTAATGCTCTCTCTACTGTCATGGACCTCAGTTGGCCATGAAAATGGAGTTGCCCGAGGAGAAATGCTCTTCTGACAACAGATTTCCCAGCCTCCCTGACAGCTGTTCCCAGCAACTAGACAAACACTATCACCTGAAGAGCTTGTGGAAAGAGCAACAGCATGAAGGGGTTCCTTCACCCATTTATTAAAGGTTTTTGAAAGATTAAAACACAGGTGGAAGCTGCAGTCACACCTTAAAAGGTGACACAGTCTGGAACCAGAGCTGGTCTCTTCACAGCCAGACCAACTCTTAATAAGGCAGCTGGAGGCATATAACAGCCTCAGCCCCACAAGTGTCTGGTCTCTTGATCTGGTGTCGGGGATCCAGAACCAGAGCGAATGCTACTCTCTTCTACCTCTTCTCCCAGTGGGAAGGTACAGCAAAACCTCAGCAGTCTACTGTCACAAGGGAAGGGCTCAGCATCCTGCCTGTAAAACTCATGAGAATGGGGCATTGGCATGAAAAAGCAGGGAAACAAGAACATCAGGACATTTTGGGGAGTGTCCCAATATTCCTATGGCTTTGGAGGTGTAGGTCCCAATCCCAGAGCATTTTGGCCCAAAACACAGCTGGGGAAACCACCAACCACTTACTCTGAACTTCTCATTCACTAGCCGATCCTCAGGGTCTTCATCAAACTCCTTCTGAGGATACACGTCGATGCCATTGGCAAGAAGGTCGGCTGTGATCTGAGAGAAGCAGAGAGAAAAAAATCAGATTTCATACCAGAGAGAAACAGCAGAGGAAGCAGTCTTGGAGGCACTGTGGCTATGACTCTCAGCCTACCCAGCAAACACTTCCAGGCAGCACCCTGGGTTGTTCTAGGATGCTAGGAAAGCCCCTAGCCTCAGTCAGGTTGGAGGAAGCCAGACAAGGTTGCCTTACCCCTCCCTGCCTCCCTCCATAACCCTAGCTAATGGGCGTGTTTCAGTGCTAAACCCCACCCAACATATGCCCAAAGTGCAAGCAGCAAAGTCCTAAGAGACCCTCACTCTGCTTTGGTGCTGAGCAGAAGGACAGATTTCAAGCACAAGCCCAGAAAGCCCCAAGGGCTAAGTCTGGCTGCCTTAGAGTGAGTTTGCAAGTCACTTTCCAGAATTTGTTCGCTCCTTGGAAGAGAAACCAGAAGCCACATGGGGACAGGCACATCTAAGGCTTGATGAGCTGCTAATGCACATATTTGTGTTTTCTATTCAAACCCATTATTATCTCTTTTAAATGTAGGGGTTGAGCCTGGCAACAAAGCCATGTGCAGGAAATTGTCTCATGACACAACATGCCTCAATTCAGCTGCACAAAGTGGGAAGACAACAAGGCCTCAGCTACTGAGACAGCTACTGCCATCCTGACTGGAATCCAAGGACCTCCAAAGCTAGTTCAGACTGCAGGGACTTGGCAGCCATGCTTAGTGGTTGGGGAAGGAACTACAACTTGGGCACAGAAGGAGGAACATCATGCATTGATTAGCAGAGTTTGTTACCATGGCTCAGGGAAGGCTAATGCCACAAAGCAAATAGGATAACAGCCCTGAGAAGTCCTGGCCAGACCAAGGTGACACCCAAACCAAAAAGGGCTTAAAAGTTGGAATGTAGCATTGGAAAGGCTGCAGCGGATAAAAACTTTTCAAGGGAACCTTGCTTCAAAACCTGATGTCCTGGGTACCACCAAAGGCTGGGGAAGCTGTGCATCCTCCCCTTCCAGACACCTGACTGGCCTCCCTCTGCCCCCACTTCAGGTCCATGTCCTTGAGACAGAGGTGATGCATACTGGCAGGAGTGGACAGCGGAGTGTGGGTCCTTGCTGCAGTGCATCACTCCCTCCCCAACACGGCAAACGGCAGGTCACCCTGCTCTGACAGGGCTCCTTCCCGCTGGGAACGATTTCAAGACCATGGTTATGAGCAAAAATGTAAAGCAAGAGTCAACTTCTTTTTTCACTTATCTATTACCTGGGTCAACTATTGCTCAACAGCGATCTTTGCCACCCAACTAAAGGCAGATTCCAACTGCACGTCTGAAATAACTAAAGGGATGATGCCTGCTGATTGAAGTGGTTCCTGCTTCCCTGATAAATGTGAGTTGAGTTCATTAACTGCAGAAGCAGCTCAGCAGTGCAAGAGCCAGCTGGATTCTGCTGTGCTTGACGCATCATCAGCATTGTCAGCTCAGTTCCGACAGCACGGGCTTTTATTACCAGGGACGACAGCAGAGGCACAGAGAGGCCAGATGGATCGTTAGATTCCAGACTAAATGTGCAGCTCCAGCAGTCAGACAGGCAAAGAGAGGCACCCTCGCCTTGTGACTTCTAAACGGAGCAAATGATCTGGGAGAAGTCATCAGGAAACACTACACTGTGTCACCCCTGACTGCCACTGTTATAACCCTCTCCAGCCTGCACTAGCTCGTCCCATGTCTCCCAAGGGCACAGGCAGTCTGATCAACTGATTAACCCCAAGTTCTGGCCGCACTTCCAGGTCTCTGCTCAGCCCGTTGCAGACATGGGACCAGCTGTGAAATTTGGATCCGACCTCCAAGTCAAGTCTGAGACTGCAATTCACAACACGCCCCCCGCAACAGGCCGATGACGTTCACCAGCAGGGCAGCTCACCTCCATCTGTTGTGTTGTCAGAGTAAGGTCCCAGCATGGGCAGGTTCTCTGGCTCTCCAGCACCCTCCCCCCCATAATCTACTGTGCAAAAATTGGATTCCTCCCCAGAGTAACTGGCTCCTGTGCCCAAGGTAAGGATGAGAACAAACTGGGAACAGCTTTGCATCTGAGGTTGGGGCAGATCTGAGTACAGGGGTTAGCAGTGCAGGACCCACCCCCCCCAGCTGTGTATTTACACTCTCCTGCCATACGTAAGTAGTGGAGCCTGGCTTGCTTTTAAGCAGTGTCACTGCAAGCTATTTGCTACCAAGTGCAAAGCTCCCCTCCAATGGTACCTTTATGGGTTAATATTAATATTGGACTTGCGGACAGAAGCCTTCTGCAGCCTTTTCCCAGCCATTTACCACCCCCAGCACAACCCCAATTCATTTCCCTTCTGCTTGGGGCTCACAGCATTCCATGTGGATATTTATGGAAAGCTGGCTGAACTATTGGCTTTGGCAATACCTGGGCTATTCATGCTCAAAAATGCAATTCAGGCTCAAGAAGCAATAAGCCAAGAGGTGATCAGTGGCTTGCTTATTTTTGCAGCAAATGCTGAGCCCATCATGCCTGTAGCCACATCATCAGTTACATGAGCGGGCTTCTTGCCTTTTATCAAAAGCCAAATCAAGTGCCCCCGCCCTCCTCAGCACCAGGCATGCATGCTGCACAAGGAAACCACAGGCCTCACTGGAGACTGAAACAGTTCCTTTCAGCTTCCCCACCACCAGCTTCCAACCATTGCGAGCAGGGGAATTTCATGTTTTGCTTTCCGTGTAAATCTCTCCCAGCTGAACTCAGAAGACACCCATGCATTTTTATCTGGTTACTGTATCACTGCATGATGCTGCACAGTGATGCTGGCTCCCTGAAAAGCCACTTCAGGGCTCTGCATACCACAGCACCAGCCTCCCAACGCAAGAGTGACTTGGAGGGGGGAAAAAAAGACAGAGGAGGAACAAGCCTCAAGACCAAGGGCTTGAAATTTATTCTGAGCTGACAGAGATCCAAGAGAAACACAAGGAACTGTTTCGAGGCAAAGGCCCTTCCTTCTGCCACATGGGATCACTCAGGGCCGCAGCCCAAGGAATGCTCTGGGCTCCCAGCCAGCAGTTTGGCTGTACAGACCTGGTGGGGAGGGGGGAGAAGGGGCAAGGGAAGCAGTGCAGAGCGGAGAGTGGCTGCCACCCCCTTACCCTTTGCTTGAAGTACTCTCTCTCCTCCAGCGTTAACGTGTCGGCCTTGGCGATGACTGGGACAATGTTGACCACTTTGCTCAGGCGTTTCATGAATTCAATGTCTAGTGGTCGGAGTCTACAAATGCAGCAGGAGAGAAAGGGAATCAGATTTCAGCAATTAGGATCCAGAAGCTGTTGGGAGAGGGAGCGATTACCCAGTAGACAGAGGACATTCGAAGGAGAGAAAGGGATGGGGAGAAACTATGCATCACAGAAGAAGAAACAGTTACTTTGAAGCGTGGGAGTGCATCTCTGTCACACACACACACACATTTTGCAGGCAAACGCTTATAACACTTTCCTTTCTACTTTCAAAGTGCCAGGCTATCTCTTATGTTTCTGCTTTCAAAGTGCCAGCCTATTGGTTAGGAACCCTTGCAGTACCCCTGTGAAGCTGGCAGGGGAGCTTTTATCTTCTCATGGATTTTAAGCCAAAGAGGATTTTAAGGAATATGCTGCAGGCTGCACAAGTCCTTGGCAGAACTGGGATCAGCACTCAGACGTGCCTGACTGGGCTCCATCTGCTAGGCTGAGCTGCTTTCCTTGTGCATTGGGCCTGGACAGAAAAGTGTGACCACTGGCCACTGGATATTTTCATATGCCCCTTTGCTTTCCCATATCACACATGGTTTCAGAAGTGTGCAATGAGACTGAGGTGGAATCCTGGCTGGAAGCCAACGCATGGTGAAATTCATCCCCATGCAGACTAAGGGGCCTGTGAATCACTAGCTTTGTAGTGTCCCATCTGCACAGGGTTGAATTTCACCCCACATGACACCCCTGTCACTGCAGGTTACAGACAGGAACCGATTCACTGCCAGAGGGAGCAGCAGATGTGGAACTGGCACTGCAGTTATCGCAGGCATAAAAATGTCACGAGGGCAAAAACGAATCAAAACACCCAAGTCTGAAAACGGTTTTAACCTGAATGATTTTCTTTGTTAGGAGAAACTGCCCTTCTAAAAGGCTCTGGCCAGAAGCCTCTTTAGGATCCAAGTGCTGTGAGGAGACATGACTACAGTGCACATCGGTAGAGCCCTATTAGCCCAGTAGCTGGACCAGGGCCAACTGCAGCAGTGAAGTCAAATGGGCCATCCAAGCTCATCTGTGATCTTGGGGACATACTCGGATTCCAGGCCGCCCTGAAACCTAGGACACTGCATTTTCACTGGTACTGGACCCTGGACTAAGCAGTTTGGGTATTAAAGATATTCTGGTGTACGTGGGCTGAAATCACACTTCTAGACTGCAGGGTGAAGGTCCCAAGAGCAGCTGCCTTTATACCAGATGAGCAGGGAAACAGAGCAGGTGCCACCCACCACATCAAACCCAGGGACAAGAGATCAGGAATGTTCCTTCTGGCTGGAGCGCAGCTGGGGTCCCAACTTGCCCCTTGAAGAATGAAAATGATTTGGGTGTTTTGATGTACAGCTATTTTTGTTGGCCTAAGTGAGGCATGATCCTGGCGCCTCCTCTGGCTGCCTCAGCATGTGGCCAGATGTGCTGCTGGGGGAGAGCAAGCCACTGCCCTGGGGCCAGCAGGACCTAGCTGGCTTGGGGAATGGAGGGTCAGGAGCACACATAGTTAGCTACTGTAAGGAAGAGAGCATCGCGCCATGTCGAGATGCTGGGAGCACAGGGGGCACTGGCATAAAGGGACAACAACATTTAATGCTCTGGTGCTGGAGGAAGAGTCCAAAGGAACCCAACTGCTTGAAGCCAGCCCAGGCCCAGGTGGTGTGGCCAATGCAGTATTCGAGACGCAACCAAGAGGCCTGTGCTGGAGCCAGAGGGAACAACACTGACATGTTCTCTAACCCTTCACAGTAATTAGCCCTCAGCCTCCACCTGCCAGGTAGGTCAGCAAGTTGCTGATCCTCACTTGACAGCTGGAGAAAGAAAGAGGGGCACAAGGAGGTCAAATATACTTTTGTGCCAGAGCTGGAGCCACAAACCAGGGCTCCTCTGTGAGCCTAAACTATGATCAGAAAGGGAGCTCAAATTGCTAGGAGGGTGACCTCAAAATGGCTATGCACCCAGATGGATCCAGGAATCCAAAAGGCCAGTGCTGGATCCTGCCAAGAGGCACTTGGACAAGCAGACAGAGCATGGGCTGCAGGACAAGAAGAAGAGGACATAGCCAGGAGACTGCGGCTCTGCACTGCTGCCTGCAGCCAGCACCTCTAAGTCAGAGAAATCAAGGGCCCTAGAGAGTTCAGGGGAGCCTATAGGACTGGGGCTATACTAAAGACCTGATCTGTCAGTCATTTGATGGGATCACCATGATCCTCAGCAGCTACTAACCAACAGTGAAGCTCTTCTCCCCACCTGCAATCTGCCTGGACTCACGGGTGGAGCTGAGGAACATTTCCTAGGAGGTGCCACCAAGATGTACCGATAGGGTAGGGTTGGTGAACTTGCCATAAGAGCCTCCCCTCCTCCCTCATGGTAGTGTACTTCTCCATGTTCTCTGGGCATAGTGGCCCTGGCTTACAACTGAGTGAACTTATTAGAATTGCAGGCTTGGACAGAGCTGACATCTGACTGAGACAGAGAGGTCAATTCATTCAGACGCAGAGCTGGGCTCACTGCCCCCTGCCTTTCCTCCAGAACCTCTCTTTGCTAGTGAGCAGGGGGCATGGGGCAAACACAACATAAAGCCCAGAGACTGCATCTTTAGTGCGAGGGCAAACAAGGTCCTAACAACAATGCAGAAGTCGCAGACTGCTCTGAGCTCCAAAGAAGCGAGAGCTCGGTTCATCTTTTACAAGAAAATCCCCATGGACACATGTGAGCAGGCTGCTGCTGGCAACCATAGCCTGGAGCTCAGCATAATGTATTTCCCAGACCTCCTAGGAAGCATCTGTCTTGTGTTCCTTTCCCAGAGCGCTCCTTCCCCCCTTTCTCTTTGCAATTTTTCAAGTAGGTTTTTTTTCTCTCTTTAAAAAGCTCTTCCCCACTGAGAGCATGCTTCTGCGTCTTTCATCAGGCTTTGTTTTAGGCTGAAGGCAGGGATGAGTCTACAGCCAGTGCAGATGGATTGACAATCAGCCATGCCTCTGGATTCCAATTCTAGGGGAGGACAGGAACCCTGTTACCCAGCCTGCCTTCCTCCGCTGACAACTGGGGCGTGCTGGGGCTCCCTTTGTTAGTCTGAGAACATAGCACAAGCCACCTCTCCATCTGTATCCAGGTATGCAGACAACTGGCTTCAGAGGTTTGTATCGCCTGGCATCACACTAGGGCTCATCCTGGGGCAGTTTGGTGATGGGGCCAGAACAGCAGGGTGCTTTTCTTCTTGGTGCTGCAGTATTTCTAATGCTATTCTGGGGAGTCTCCTCAGTGCAAGGTACACGGTCACGCATGTTACGGTTCATACATTCAGTACTGGGGTGAGAAGCAGACAAGTCACAGCTGACCAGGCACGTGCATCACAGCAAGAGAAGAATCACAGTCCCAACTCCACCATCCCCCTGATCCAGTAGATGGCGCTCTTCTCCGTTGATCCGCTCAAGTGTGGCAGTAGGGGGGTACAGTACTGCAGTCTTCCAGGCTAGATGAAGGGATGGTGATAATTTCCGATCTCGAGGTCTTCACGTAGTAGGGCACCTAACCCTCCTTCCAGCCTGCACTCTTCTCCAGCTGTCTTGTTCTCCCAGCGTGCTTTAACTTTATAAAGGATAAGGGAGTATCTCTCAACAGATGTGTGGGGGTAGGCTGATTTTACATTAGGATTTAAGAGGGAAAATATGGCAAAACTGTTCCCAACACCAAGAGCTGCAGAGAAGCTGGCTGTCACGTCCAAGGGAGCACGCTGGTGAGCAAGAATCAAAGGGTGAGATCTGGCAGAGGTACAGGTGTGAGGTAGGCTTCATCGGGGGCTGGAGGAAGCTGGCAAGAAGTTATCACTGTTTGCACTTCCCCTACCCCTGAGGACACTCTTAAAACCAGGACACTTGTCGTCAGTTGCTGCCCAGCCCAGCTGCAGTATTGCAGCAGCGGATTCTCTAGAGGTCGAAGCAAATCAGTGGTGGATAAGAAGGACCTTAGAACATGCTTCTCACTCAGATGAAAAGCTTTACCAAGCACATCTCCCTCCTTGCAAGCTGCCTACAGCAGGGCTGCACCATTTCAGCCCAGCAGTGTGTGGCCCTTGAGGGCTCTTCAGAACCTCCTTGCTGCAGCTGCTCCCAGGAGCTGGGGTGGTTCATCCAGGAGCCAGGCACAGGCCTCAGGGACACAAGCTCTCTCCCAGACTTGTAACCTGAGATGCATCCGCCAACTGAAGGGGAGAGGGATGCTAGCTGACAAGCAGCAAAACTCCCTCCCAAAGCAAAGCGCCAGAGGAGCCCAAACAGAGCAAGCTGTGCATGCTGCCGGGCCAGGGCTTTCCCACAGAGTCCCCGAGACAGAACTTCCCGCCATCCTGCTGAGCACTTTCCTCTGGCTTCTGTAGAAAGCTGAGCTTCATGGACTTTCCCAAACAGTTGTACTTCCTATGGCACAGTCAGACGCACCCCCTTCTGAGGCTGAACACCCACATTGGGCTTGGGAAAGCCAGGCTGGAGGGACTGCAGCTGGAGATTTACAGTGTAAAATGACTTCTTCCTCCCCTTCCAGTTTCCTGCTACTTGCATAGTAGATTGGGTAAGACTCAGCCAACGGGCAGAAAAGTCCGGCTTGATGTTTAAGTACCAAGCTTCAAAGCAGAACATACACATTGCCTGACTGCACCCATGAAGCCTTGAGGGCTCAAAGCTGACTTACACCGTAATCCTTTAGTAGATGTCCTGTGCACTATGGCTATGGTTGATCAATAGCAGTGAGGGGGAAGGATGGCTAAACCTAATCACCAGTCCAGCTACATCCCTTACCGAAGTGCAATACAGTACAGCTGGGAGCTTGTGGCTCAGGGTCCGTGCAGGGTTCAGCCTCCTCACCTCTGATCACTGTGCACAGAAGCAGCTGCTCTGTGTAAGGCCAGAGGGCACCTGAGTTCCAAAGACAGAAACCCTGGTCCTCACTGCGGAGTGTTGATCCTGGGACCTAAAGGACGCACCTACACATTCATTAATGCACAGTAGTTACTGCGCATTTAGTTTAGTACTTGCTTAATGAAGTACTAATTAAATGCGTAATCACTACAGACCTACAATTACTGAGCAGTAGCACCGGCACACTATTTTTGTGATACTTACTGCACAGTATCCTAATAACACTGTGCAGTAGTGTATTAGCATGGTTTTTGACTGGCATGCTACAGTGCAGTAAGCATTTTGTGCAGACGCACCCAAGGAGGAGCACTTTAGCTGCCATGACCCATCACCCTCCTAAGGAAGGCATGCAAGAAAAACATTTAATTGTGTACAACCTACTGGAAGGGAGTCCTCATTCCACCTTCATAAATGGGCATGATCTGACAGGTGGGGAGTGTTCAAGAGAGAGAAGCAGTTATTTCCTTGTTTGGCTCCTGGTAACCTAGCTCTGGCCTGTTCTGCCCGAGGCTGCCGTCTCATATGGGGTGCAGGAGGACAGCGGGGAGCTCCCTCTTACAGACATGCTCACAGGTACCTTCTCCTTCCCTTCTGATAAGAGATCACTGTTCACCCCCGGAGGGCTTGCAGGGGCACTGAGGTTACCTATAACTAGGACCATCAACACAGACAGGGCTTTAACACAGAATCGTCCTTGCAGGCTGCAGCTGTAGAAATAAAATCCATTGTCGCTCCACAGTTATTTCTCTGCAGTGATGTGCCAGATCACGCTGCAGTGAAATTAAAAAAAAAAAAAGTGCTTAAAAAAAGTCTTCCGAGCTGGTGCTGAGAATCTAACAGGGCTCCAGCCCCACTGTCTGTGTGCCTGTGATGGAAGTCAGGCTGGCAGTGCTGCTGCTAAGGCCTGAGGCAGCATGGATCCTGACTCCCTCTCTTGCAGGTGTGCTGGCTCTGGGGTGTGGAATGACTAGTGGGAACAGGAACAGGATGGTGTCAGTATGTCCAGCAGCAGTTCTGAAACATCCTGACAGTAGAACAGCTGAGGATGATGATGCCATATTTTAAACACATTCAGAGTCAAGCAGCGTTTTCCAGTGCTCAGGGCTGAGGAATTTATTAGGTAGCGAGGAGACAGGGCTTTGCTCCCCTGAGCCAGGAGCCCCAGCCAGCATGTTACTGATGCCTTGCAAACATGGGCTTGCTGGAGCATTAGGAGAATGGCAGAGTGCGCATGCACCCGGTTAGCTCCACCACTGCTGCCCTGAGCTCTTTTCCAATGGGAGACTGAGACAAGGCTCTGCCATCAGATGAGAAAGTCAGCAGTGATTAACTCTTGGGTTCCTCTTCAGAGGGAGAGAGAGAAAAAGCCCCAATGCCTGCATGAGTCTGAAATGGAACTAATTATCCACCCTACCAGCACATAAAGCCAATACCTCAGGCTTGCAGACTGAAGGGGGAGACTCAGCAGCCTTGTAAAAGTCATTCAGGCTTTTGCTGTTGCTATTTAGCCTCAAACAGAGCTGAAATCTTTTTGACTGCTACAAAGAGAAAAATCTGGTCTGAACAGCACCAGCACTGCAGGCTTGACAAGCCCACAGGAGGGAGCAGCCAAGTGTTGCAGAGAGGGCTCTGGACACCTGTGCTGGGGAGGAAGTGCCCTGTCCTGCCCTCAAGTCATCAGCCTGGAGAAGGGCATGGCCCTGCAACATTCTCCATCAGTGTAAAGGAACTGACAGTGTGGTGTTTATCCCTTGAGCATCAGCTGGAAGGGAACGCACACTTCCAGTGTGAGCAAGTTGCAGCAGTAAGATGCTTGTCTGGAGAGGAAATCGGAAGATGAGTAAAATTGAGAGCCAAAGAGTAGCAGGGTGCCACAGATGCTTGGTAGGCTAAGGAGCATCTGTTGCTGCTGTCCAGGACAGTGCTTCCTTTAGCTCCAATGGGTCCTCCTGAAGGCCCTGGAGCTGAAGCCCCATGGTTGCAGCCCTGGTTCCCACCTGTACCATCTGCAAGAGAATGGTTATCTAGCAACTGCCTCTGCAGCACACTGATTCAGTGGGCAGGCACAGAATAGCAACAATGGGCTTGCCTCGCTGGCATTGACCCCATGCTGCTGCCTCGCAGCTCACTGCTCTCTGCCCTGACCAGAAGCCTCTTCTAACAATTTGCCAGTATGAGCCATTCGTATTGGAGAGAGTGGCCAGGCAGGAGCCATAGGAGGTGAGAATGGGGCAGGAGATTTGGGCAGATAGGTGCCAATGGGGCTAAGAAACATGCGACACTGAGCCTAGGTGGACCAGGAACATTATGGCTCCTCAGAAACCAGCATTTCTTGTGTATGTCTCCCTCCCATCCAGGTTCCCCTCCCCTCCTCCAAGCTGCAGTCTAAGGCTTCAAAAAGGTCTCCTGTTCCCCTCAAAAAGGTCTCCTGTTCCCCAGCTTATCTGCATCCTACACCATGAGAGGAGTCAGGAGCCAGATGTTCACCCTGACACCTGGGCAGGAAACCACAGCCCTGGGAGCAGCCACAATCTGAGCCAGCAGCAAAGGGAGTGAGCACTAACCCCCAGCTGGGGTATCGGGTTACACACAGCCAAAGGCTATTTCGAGGAAGGAGCCTGTGTGCGCAGCTTGGTAATGAAGTCCCTTGCAATACTGGGCCATTTCTCATATTGGAAACACATGTTTTGGGGGGAGAGAGAGAAGGAAGTGAAGAGTCAGACTCTGAAGCTATTATTGTTACCTGGAGAGCAGACGGGTTAGAGAAATCAGAATGAGCCATAAGGCTCCAGTGATTTTTTTTTTTTGGGGGGGGGGGGGGGGGGAGAAGTGTCTTGTACAAACATAAAACTGGAAAAGCCCCTGGGAAAAAGTACTCTGATCTAGATTGGGGTCTTTCAGTGCTACTTTAATATAAATACTACATAATAATTGCTGAATGGGCTGCAACTGCCCCAGTTTCTATATCACTCCTGCAAAGA